AGGGTTAGGGTTAGGGTTAGGGTTAGGGTTAGGGTTAGGGTTAGGGTTAGGGTTAGGGTTAGGGTTAGGGTTAGGGTTAGGGTTAGGGTTAGGGTTAGGGTTAGGGTTAGGGTTAGGGTTAGGGTTAGGGTTAGGGTTAGGGTTAGGGTTAGGGTTAGGGTTAGGGTTAGGGTTAGGGTTAGGGTTAGGGTTAGGGTTAGGGTTAGGGTTAGGGTTAGGGTTAGGGTTAGGGTTAGGGTTAGGGTTAGGGTTAGGGTTAGGGTTAGGGTTAGGGTTAGGGTTAGGGTTAGGGTTAGGGTTAGGGTTAGGGTTAGGGTTAGGGTTAGGGTTAGGGTTAGGGTTAGGGTTAGGGTTAGGGTTAGGGTTAGGGTTAGGGTTAGGGTTAGGGTTAGGGTTAGGGTTAGGGTTAGGGTTAGGGTTAGGGTTAGGGTTAGGGTTAGGGTTAGGGTTAGGGTTAGGGTTAGGGTTAGGGTTAGGGTTAGGGTTAGGGTTAGGGTTAGGGTTAGGGTTAGGGTTAGGGTTAGGGTTAGGGTTAGGGTTAGGGTTAGGGTTAGGGTTAGGGTTAGGGTTAGGGTTAGGGTTAGGGTTAGGGTTAGGGTTAGGGTTAGGGTTAGGGTTAGGGTTAGGGTTAGGGTTAGGGTTAGGGTTAGGGTTAGGGTTAGGGTTAGGGTTAGGGTTAGGGTTAGGGTTAGGGTTAGGGTTAGGGTTAGGGTTAGGGTTAGGGTTAGGGTTAGGGTTAGGGTTAGGGTTAGGGTTAGGGTTAGGGTTAGGGTTAGGGTTAGGGTTAGGGTTAGGGTTAGGGTTAGGGTTAGGGTTAGGGTTAGGGTTAGGGTTAGGGTTAGGGTTAGGGTTAGGGTTAGGGTTAGGGTTAGGGTTAGGGTTAGGGTTAGGGTTAGGGTTAGGGTTAGGGTTAGGGTTAGGGTTAGGGTTAGGGTTAGGGTTAGGGTTAGGGTTAGGGTTAGGGTTAGGGTTAGGGTTAGGGTTAGGGTTAGGGTTAGGGTTAGGGTTAGGGTTAGGGTTAGGGTTAGGGTTAGGGTTAGGGTTAGGGTTAGGGTTAGGGTTAGGGTTAGGGTTAGGGTTAGGGTTAGGGTTAGGGTTAGGGTTAGGGTTAGGGTTAGGGTTAGGGTTAGGGTTAGGGTTAGGGTTAGGGTTAGGGTTAGGGTTAGGGTTAGGGTTAGGGTTAGGGTTAGGGTTAGGGTTAGGGTTAGGGTTAGGGTTAGGGTTAGGGTTAGGGTTAGGGTTAGGGTTAGGGTTAGGGTTAGGGTTAGGGTTAGGGTTAGGGTTAGGGTTAGGGTTAGGGTTAGGGTTAGGGTTAGGGTTAGGGTTAGGGTTAGGGTTAGGGTTAGGGTTAGGGTTAGGGTTAGGGTTAGGGTTAGGGTTAGGGTTAGGGTTAGGGTTAGGGTTAGGGTTAGGGTTAGGGTTAGGGTTAGGGTTAGGGTTAGGGTTAGGGTTAGGGTTAGGGTTAGGGTTAGGGTTAGGGTTAGGGTTAGGGTTAGGGTTAGGGTTAGGGTTAGGGTTAGGGTTAGGGTTAGGGTTAGGGTTAGGGTTAGGGTTAGGGTTAGGGTTAGGGTTAGGGTTAGGGTTAGGGTTAGGGTTAGGGTTAGGGTTAGGGTTAGGGTTAGGGTTAGGGTTAGGGTTAGGGTTAGGGTTAGGGTTAGGGTTAGGGTTAGGGTTAGGGTTAGGGTTAGGGTTAGGGTTAGGGTTAGGGTTAGGGTTAGGGTTAGGGTTAGGGTTAGGGTTAGGGTTAGGGTTAGGGTTAGGGTTAGGGTTAGGGTTAGGGTTAGGGTTAGGGTTAGGGTTAGGGTTAGGGTTAGGGTTAGGGTTAGGGTTAGGGTTAGGGTTAGGGTTAGGGTTAGGGTTAGGGTTAGGGTTAGGGTTAGGGTTAGGGTTAGGGTTAGGGTTAGGGTTAGGGTTAGGGTTAGGGTTAGGGTTAGGGTTAGGGTTAGGGTTAGGGTTAGGGTTAGGGTTAGGGTTAGGGTTAGGGTTAGGGTTAGGGTTAGGGTTAGGGTTAGGGTTAGGGTTAGGGTTAGGGTTAGGGTTAGGGTTAGGGTTAGGGTTAGGGTTAGGGTTAGGGTTAGGGTTAGGGTTAGGGTTAGGGTTAGGGTTAGGGTTAGGGTTAGGGTTAGGGTTAGGGTTAGGGTTAGGGTTAGGGTTAGGGTTAGGGTTAGGGTTAGGGTTAGGGTTAGGGTTAGGGTTAGGGTTAGGGTTAGGGTTAGGGTTAGGGTTAGGGTTAGGGTTAGGGTTAGGGTTAGGGTTAGGGTTAGGGTTAGGGTTAGGGTTAGGGTTAGGGTTAGGGTTAGGGTTAGGGTTAGGGTTAGGGTTAGGGTTAGGGTTAGGGTTAGGGTTAGGGTTAGGGTTAGGGTTAGGGTTAGGGTTAGGGTTAGGGTTAGGGTTAGGGTTAGGGTTAGGGTTAGGGTTAGGGTTAGGGTTAGGGTTAGGGTTAGGGTTAGGGTTAGGGTTAGGGTTAGGGTTAGGGTTAGGGTTAGGGTTAGGGTTAGGGTTAGGGTTAGGGTTAGGGTTAGGGTTAGGGTTAGGGTTAGGGTTAGGGTTAGGGTTAGGGTTAGGGTTAGGGTTAGGGTTAGGGTTAGGGTTAGGGTTAGGGTTAGGGTTAGGGTTAGGGTTAGGGTTAGGGTTAGGGTTAGGGTTAGGGTTAGGGTTAGGGTTAGGGTTAGGGTTAGGGTTAGGGTTAGGGTTAGGGTTAGGGTTAGGGTTAGGGTTAGGGTTAGGGTTAGGGTTAGGGTTAGGGTTAGGGTTAGGGTTAGGGTTAGGGTTAGGGTTAGGGTTAGGGTTAGGGTTAGGGTTAGGGTTAGGGTTAGGGTTAGGGTTAGGGTTAGGGTTAGGGTTAGGGTTAGGGTTAGGGTTAGGGTTAGGGTTAGGGTTAGGGTTAGGGTTAGGGTTAGGGTTAGGGTTAGGGTTAGGGTTAGGGTTAGGGTTAGGGTTAGGGTTAGGGTTAGGGTTAGGGTTAGGGTTAGGGTTAGGGTTAGGGTTAGGGTTAGGGTTAGGGTTAGGGTTAGGGTTAGGGTTAGGGTTAGGGTTAGGGTTAGGGTTAGGGTTAGGGTTAGGGTTAGGGTTAGGGTTAGGGTTAGGGTTAGGGTTAGGGTTAGGGTTAGGGTTAGGGTTAGGGTTAGGGTTAGGGTTAGGGTTAGGGTTAGGGTTAGGGTTAGGGTTAGGGTTAGGGTTAGGGTTAGGGTTAGGGTTAGGGTTAGGGTTAGGGTTAGGGTTAGGGTTAGGGTTAGGGTTAGGGTTAGGGTTAGGGTTAGGGTTAGGGTTAGGGTTAGGGTTAGGGTTAGGGTTAGGGTTAGGGTTAGGGTTAGGGTTAGGGTTAGGGTTAGGGTTAGGGTTAGGGTTAGGGTTAGGGTTAGGGTTAGGGTT